TGTGTGTGTGTGTCCGCGAGTGTACAAAATTTAGCGTCAACTAATCACCATAAGAAATGTGCAGACCTTATCGTTCCAGTATTGTTGTACCCGGATTGACCTCAGTCGGTGTTGACCACAATGAGCGCTGACGCTGTGACTGCGACCTGTGTGGCTATCCCCGAGAAAGGCGACGAGGAACTGATGGAATTCTCCAGAGTGCCGCGAGAAAACAATGCCATGATGGAGGACAAACGGTCGTGGAAGGAGGCGGAGGAAGGTATAAACCCACTGTTTAAGTAATTTAGAGCTCCTAATAATTATGGTAATAACAATAATACTGGTAATAATAATGGCGATCATCATCATCATCATCATCATCATCATCATCATCATCATCATCATCATCATCAACATCATCATCATCATCAACATCATCATCATCATCAACATCATCATCATCATCATAACATGATGATGATGATAATGATTATTATTATTATTATTACTAGACACAGACCCGTTCTACGAACAGTGATATAGTGATAGGAGCGCCCAAGATAAAAGGTTTGTACCGGTACCTGGTTCATTGCCGTAGGACCTCTGTGTAGACAACATTGCTGGTTTAATGCGCCATCTGGAATTCCGTCCTGGGCTGCAGGTCTGTTTGCATTTATCCTAATAGATTCCCTGGACCCAACACGACTCTTTGCGACATACAATTGTCCATGGGAAATAAATCGCCCTGTAAAGAAACCCCTATCCTATTCAAAGTCTGTCTCTGAGCTTTGTTGGCAGTCATTGCAAAAGCAGGTCGAACCGAAATTGTTTCCGTCGCATATGGAAGGGAAATATGTTGTCTGGAGGCATGAGGGGAGTTATTGGGATGAAAAGTCTCTTTCCGGCATGTGGACCGCAAACAACGACAGCATCAATTACATGTTGATGAAGGTTTTGAACCACATATCGAGTCCCGTTGCAGTGGCCGTTTGTGGGATCCAGATTTCTCAGCAATATGACGATGCTGTCTTTCCGCAATGTCAATTTGTGGGGTGGCATACCTGACGGACGTAGAGAATTAATAAATTCGATGGGGTATTGGTGTTCATTTTCTTCCATCGAATCACTGTTCCTGCAGACTTTTTCTTCTCCGGGAAAGGACTGCATGATCAGGTTGTTGATTCTGTCTACTTCTGTGTTGGTGGGACAGATCATACAGCGGGAAGCCAGCCTGTCAGGATTTGTGTTAGACTGCAAGTTACCGAAGACAAAATTTATCAACTCTCGTTCGCTCTTTACTGTGATGTCATCTGGCAGTTTTATCGCAAACTCCCCGATTTGCTTGCATTTATTGTGTTTGACATCACCAATGTTCAGTAGATAGTTGAAGAAATCAGCAGTCTCACCTGTAAGCGAAACCCTCATGTTTCTTGTCAGTCGGAGCACATTAACATGCTCCCACAGATATGATGATTTCAGCGTTGCATTGACTATCTGTGATCTTGAGCCATGGCGAACTACTGGTAGAACTTGGCGCCAGTCACCTGACATCAGCACATTTAGCCCACCGAACAGAGAGTTATTCCCACATACGTCTTGAAGTGTTCGGTCTATGGCTTCAAAGATGTGTTTGTGGCCCATCGATACTTCATCAATGATGAGCAGCTCTGTTTGGCGTAATAAAGTGCCACTGGCATCTTGGGGACTCACACTGCACATGGACTGTTCGTTCACACTAACGGGTATTTTGCATCTGCTGTGTAATGTTCTGCCATTTGAGAGCAGAGTCGCTGCAATGCCTGACAGAGCTGTAGCAAGGGCGATCTTCTTAAAGGAACTGACAGCCGCAAGAATCAGGTTTATAGTGTGGGTTTTCACCAGTCCCTCCACTTGCCTCCAGGGCAAATATCTTGCTTTGCTTCTGTACAACTGACTCTATCACAGCACCATACACGACTCTTTGTTCTTCATTAAGCTTTGGGTACTCTTGACTCACCTTCTCTCTCAGGCTGACGTTCATTCAAAATGTCTGGCCGTAAAATATGTGACAGTCTCAGCCTATCCTGAAGTTCTGTGGCAGACTCATGAAAAAAAAATCTGTGCAAACTTTGGTTCAGTTCCAGCAGTGGGAAGAAGATTTCTTAATCGGTGGTACGGCTTGCCCTGGATTTTGAAGGTTGGACTGAAGCCCTTTTCAGCATGTTCACTGCACCCAATTGAAACAAGGGCGAAAGCATTATTGTATGACCTACAGTGCGGTAAGAAAGAGCTGCCGCTCTATGCTACATCGTAATACTTTATTAATTCCCGAGGAGGTGTGGGAGATACAGGTTTACTAAACTTTCCATTTTTGACTGCAGAATGTATTTCTCTCTTCTCTCCATCTTATGGCATTGCAATGATCACAGACGACACTGAATTCACCACAATCATGCGTCCGTAATCTTCGGTCAACTTCAGTTTCACTAAACGACTGTGTGTTGCACGCTATGGCCAACGTTGGCCCATTCTTTCTTGGCCC